GTGCTGAAGGTAATGAGAACTCAAACATTACATAAACTGTAATGCATGTATGGTTTACACAGATCTACAGGAAGTTACATATAATCTGTAGATGGATTGTTTAAACATTTGGCAAATCATGTTTTCATTCGTATTATTCTCAAAATTGTTAACGTGATGAAACAGCCTCATGTACATAAGGAAGTTTTCTCTTTCTTAATCAATATACCAAAAGCAATATTCCTAGCTTGATAGGGCAGGTATGTGTTTTCTTTTTGAAGTTACTGCAGCTGCAAGTATTGTACTACAACTGACCTCTCAAAAAACTGCAGGGGTCCCAAAGGGAGCAGGATATATTTTTTAACTTCTTAAATTTAAGTCCCTAACAAACATTCTCTCTCCACCTCATTTTGAAGACAGTAACTCAGACAGATGGTTATTATAGAAAATTACATACCAAAATGGAAGGTAAAAGTAAGGTGCATAATATCAGTCCGAAAATGCACCTCTCTGCTTCTCTTCAATTTCTGGAAATAATCTTTTCCATACAAGCCAGTCACAGATCCAGAAGTAGGATATTCCCCCTATTTAATGCAAACTGTGCATCATCACATACGCCTTCAGAGTACCCACAGTTAGTAATTACTTCAGAACTTTCCTTTTTTTAAATCATGGTTAAAACCTATCTTTATTACTGAAAAAAACCGTTAAAAATATGTAAAAATCTTCATTAAAGATCTATTTAATAGAAGATTTTAGTACCTATTTGCTATTTTTATGTTAACATAGCATAACACTTAAACGATCACTTTAGATTACACCTAGAAAAGTCATGAAGTGCTTCAAAATGTATCATTATTTCACAGTGTGTAAGAGAACTCTTCCTCACTTGTCAATCCATGCTATAAACTTTGCAGTTAACAATGCTGTTTAATAATATGCAAGACAGTGCAAATGAACATGCAACTAGATAGATAACATCATTTTATAGATATTTAGGGATTATATCATCCTGGGAGGCAAACCTCCCTCCTTCACAGTAGGATAAATTTACATTTCATAAAATGTTCAAACTGCTTTGAAAATGCATTCCTAAGAAGGTGAGGTCTCCCATTTTAAAATGTCAGCATTGGGCCAATTAATCTATATATTGTTGTTCATTTCCATTTCCGTATTAATCTGATACGATTTGATGTGCCAAGTTTAAACTGTTGGTTACCTTTCTGTGCCTAGTGCCACCCAGCACCCTTAGGAGAAGTACCAGGGCTACCATTTTAGGGATTTCTTCTGTGTCACAGTCTAGTAATTTGGCCAACATGACAACTGCTTTGGTAAAAATAGAGTATTTATTGAAACAATTAACTTTTTCTCTTTATTAAGGGTTCTCGAGTCCAACAAACCCAAGTCAGATCACTACAGGAAGAATTTCTGGTAAGGAGAGAATCAAATGAAGCACCAAGGAAATGATTCAGAGCACCTACTGTAAGTACCTCAACCAGATATTGTAAATATCTCCATGTTTCCTGGTCTTTCTATGAGACTTCCTTTGTCCCACCAACTTCCATTCATCTATCTTAGCAATAAAGCCCAAATCCAAGGACTGTCCTTAACAAATAGACAGCAATGATTCTACATGTGCATTAAGTAAACTCTACTCTCAGCGTTGAACACAGAAGTAATACCCAGGAAGTGGTCTGCAGAAGCAAGTGCCATCTTCAGTTGCTCTTGTAGTTCATTCACAGCTTTCTAAGTTTTCAGGCTGTGTTAACTGTATTAAGCACTGTAGCTGTGGCATCATGATAGAGTACGTTCTTCCAAAACTTGTAATAAATTGGGTAAATTTGGTAATACTGAAGGCAACTGAATTCAGAATGAAATACCCAGTGGTTTTGTTGTGTTTTTTTTTTTTTAATTCAAGTGAATTAATTGCAGTATAAGCATGATGGGATCAGGTTTTGCAGATTTTGAAAACTGTTAAGATTAGCTTTTAAAATGCATGCAGTTAGTTCTTATCTCAACTTTTTGAGTTTGTTTCTAGGTTTGTCTCATGATACAGAATGGGATTCATTCTGCAGCCTGTTCTCTAGGAGAGACTTGAAGGTTGCATAGAGGAAGTCAAAAAATATATTTTGCATCATTTAATTGTGAGCCCTTGAGCTTCCCAAGTAATGTTGATGGAGTCCAGAAAAATGTATCTTGTCTGCCTTAGGCAGCATGAAGTTGGAACATGCTTGAGCTCAGAGGGGAAAAAAGGCACGTGGAGAGATTGGAACAGGCAACTTCCACTTGACAAATAACCCAAGTGTAACAAAAATTTAGTGACAAAATATTAACACTTCATCTTCTGAAAAGCTTGACATTATCAGAAAAGAAGGTTTCAGTGTACCTTTTGAAAAACAAACAAACAAACAAAACACCAACAAATACACATTGTCAAAGCCTAATCCCCTTCCAGGCTAACCAGGCTCCAGTTATTTGAATCACTGTGGTTCTTTCCAGTTGTATACTGGTGAAACAGGGGCCTATCATTACGTGTCTCTCCACCGAAAGAAACAAATCACTGTTCTCACCAATAGCTCCAGCTTCCATCCCTGAATTTACACTGTTTTTCTTAATGTTATTCCCCTTTTATAATCAAGGCTGTGACAAAGGGTAAGGCCAATATATCTAACCCCCCTCCCCAAACCCTTAGAAAGTTAGAACAAAGAATGACTTGTGAAGGCTGTGTCTTGTTTAAGGTGAAGATCTAGAAGTTTGTTACAAGTATAGGGACTGATCCTGTTCCCACTGAAGTCTGTAGTATAAAGTTAGGCTTATGAACAGGAAACTTCTTTCAATGTGTCTTAGCTGTCTTCAGGTTCTTCAGCTCTCCAGCTCTCTTGGTTAGTCCTTCCAAGTCTAGAGCTCCAGAGGTGGAAATTCTCGTATCTTGTAGCACATATGCAGATAAGTAAGGGTGTCTGATCCCACCAAATGGTAAGAGCTTGTAATAAGCATGCCCTAGTTTTGTATTGACTAATTTTGCGGAACTAAACTTTCTCTTTTTTGGGTGGCTTGTTTTTTTGTTAATATCTTGACTTCCACCTTAGGAAGAGCCCGATTAAATATATAAACTGTGAGTGAGATGCTAGTAACGTGACTTAGGATGAACAAAATACATCAGCGGACTTAGTGCTGGGCTGCAGTCAGTCAGGAAAATTACTGGTTACTAGCTAAAAGCATTACAAGTCTCTTTCTGCTAATAAGATGGGGAGCGCAATGAGGCAACTGAAGTTAAGTAATGTTTAATCAGAATCTCCATTCCCTGGTACTGTATCAAGCTACTACTCTGAGTGTACTGATAGATGTCATATACAAAATTCCATCTCCTTCAGACAGGACAAAGACAGAGTGTGAACCTAGGGAGGACTGTCCAGTTTTCTGTTGCAACAAACTAAGGGTATTAGGTTCAAAGACTTATGTTCAGTTAACTTGACATGTAACTAGCAAGGCTTCTAGTCTTGGCATTCCGATGCTAGTTTTGCAGAAAAGATGCCTCCCTATCTTTGAAAGAACAGAAAGACAAAAGCAGCTTTGATAGTAGAATGTCTCCTAGAATAGCAGAATCATATTTCAGTAATACCATATCATCCTGCTTTTCCATCATGAGCCTTAGGATTTTTAAATTCAAACAATTTAGAATTTAGATCACAAACTACCCTCTAAACAGAGATTTGATGAAATGCATGAACCCTGTGGAAGACTTATGTTTCTTAAAATATGACAGAAGGAGTATTTATTTTTAGTACAAAACTGTCTCGTTTTTAAAAAAATGCATGGCTTTGCATAGTTTTTTTCAGAAGTAAAATTCCTGAGGAAGCATCAATGTATTTAAAGCCCTGTTTAAATCTCAGGTCAACATTATACTTGTATTTTGATGTAGCAAACACGACACAGAATTCAAATAATTCCATTTCCATTAAGTAAAAATTCTCCTAGACTAAAATGAACTTACTGCATATCAAGCTGAAACTATTCACTGTATATGCAGAGATGTAGGAAAATACAAAATTCAGATCGTGGTTTAGCTAGGAAAAAAATATTACACTTAAGGATTACGAAAACCAGAGAGAGAAACAGCAAGTCTTCAACTTCTACAGCTGACTTGTCAAAACAAACCTATAAAAGAAAGTATCGGTACAAACACTGCTTGCTTAACCTATACCAATAAAGTGAAGTCTGTCCACGAGTAATCGCCAAACTGTGACTGCAGTCGATCAGAAGCACGAGTATGCTGGCATGCCCTCGAATGTTAAAGACAGTATACATAACTAAGACTGAGGCAGCTTGTGTTTTGCACTGATTTTATAAGTGCTTTTGCACTTATTTTATAAGTGCTTTTCACTTACTTCACTTTTACTTATAAAGTAAGTGAAAAGATTAATCACTATTTGTTCAGGTCTCTCCCAGATATCTTCCTACAGATAAAGCTCGAAAAACATTCAATACCTGAAGAAACTAAAATGTGACAAGTACACTACAGTCTGAAGTATATTTCAGGCAAATAATTTTTCAGGTACTTTTCTCTTATTGCCTGCGTATCCACAGAGTTCATAAAACACCTAAATGATGATTTATGCATGGTAACTTCCTTGGCAGTAATTGTTATGCCAAGGAAAAATTATTTACTGATTGCAGACACCCATATAATAACATAAGGATTTTTTTATTGCATGAACCAATCAATCAGTGTGAAGCACAGGCAGTGAATGGTGAAAACAGAAAATACAATGTTTGGTTTTCCTTTATTTCTAAAGGAAATATCTAAGCTATATTGTTGTCACTGAGAAGTTGGTCTCTGCTCTGAAAAGTAGAACAAAATAATGTGAGTTGACCTAGAAACTGTTCAGTTTCTGTGGTTAGAGGTAAAATCATGCTGCAAACATGAGGCAATAGAACATAAATTACTATGTTACATATGTAACGTGGCTCATGTATTTGTCTTTAGAATCACAGAGAATTCAGGAAATGTCAACATATTACTCCAAAGCTTTACTTAATCCACAGGAACTACAGTGAATTTACAAAGACTGAATATCACATCAATATTCCCAGCACCAGCTCAGTAACTTCACAACTGAAGTATTGTTTTATTTATGAATATTACAGCTCAAGCTTGCTCAAGTTCCACAAGGACTCCATGGCAGTCTTTAGGGTGAAGAAAAATCACAGGTTTGCCATGTGCACCTATTTTTGGCTCTTCACTCAATATTCGTATCTTTTTTTTCTTCAGTTCTGTCATAGCTGCTTTTATGTCATCAACCTTATAAAAGAAAAATACAGTTCACACAAATTAACATATTACACTATTATGCAGATTATACATTTAGGAGCAATAATATAATTCTTTACTAAAATGTTATTTCTAAATTCTAGTACAATTCTGAAAGTGAATTATGAAGTAGTTTTAAAACATGTAGTCTTAAAAATAAAAATCCTACAGAAGTTTGCGTTAGTTATTTGAAGAGTTTATAAAATATTGTTTAAATAGATTGTGCTATATTTAAGAAATTATTAAACAAAAATCACTCATGCACAAAGCCCATTGATTTTTTTACGTTCTTACTTCACAAGGACTCCATAAATAATCTAAACTCTGCATTACTATTACCAAGAAGATCATATTGCTTTCAAACTATCAATAACTAAAGAATGCCTCCCTGTCTAATTGAACACTGACTCATTAGATGCTGGTGAAAAGGGAGGGCAATGGGGAGAAGGTAAAAGGAAAGCCCCTTTTAGATTTATATATCCTCCTGACTAGGTTACGCTTCATAAAGTTACCTAAGAAAAACCTTGGAATTATCAGAAACATACCCAGAATATGACCTGGTTTTCCCATTCAACTTAATTATAGTAATAGCCTTTAACATAATATTTCAGTACAGTTTCCTGCAGAAATACATAATTAACAAAAACTTGTCTATACCGTATAATGTGATCTTATCTGATGTCAACAGATGAAATCTGAATTTTCCCAAACCTTAAATGCATTCATTTTTTGAAATAATGAAATTAGCACTCAGTTTAGCAAATCCAAGAGTCAATAATCAATAAAGACCTAAATTAAAATAATAGCATTACTATTTTTCAAGATTGAGGTGTCTGGACATAACTCGGTGAATAAACTTGCATGATGCCGTTGTAGGGAAGAAGGAAATACCTAGCTTTACTTCAGAGGAACAGACATCAGTTAATTCCTAGTCATTTGCAGCAGTTTTGTTCGTGAAAATTCGGAACTCGCTACAGTTCTTCCTACATGCACCTACCAGTCTGCTAAAAAAAAAAAAAAAAAAAAACGACTGTCAAGTTTTATCTAAAATAAAACAGCACATGTAATTCGTGCCATAGCCCCCTCCAGGTTGTTTCCCAAGCAGAAAAGCCACTGCAGCTGCTGCTCCTGTCCTACAGAGATAGCCAGAAGAGGAACTGTGTCTGGGCTCAGCTGGAATGAATTACTGCATCCCCAAGGAAGCAGTGAGAGTAAACAGTGGAAAGCCTGTGGGTGCCTCTGTGTTAGAATATCAGGCTTGGATTTCTGTCTTAGTCTACCAAATGTCCAGCATGCTTTTCATTGCAGGTATTAAATTCAATTATAGCAGTCAGGAATGATTTAATTTCTTCTTAAAATGCTTATTTTGTCTGAAACAAATTCCCTATCAAAAACATATGTCCAAAATTTTCCTTCGAATAACAAGACCGAAGGAAGAAATGAGAAGCATTTTGATAAACTTGTCAGGCTTCCTCTCAAGTATGGAAAGAATTCTTACCATTCAGCTTTTTGCAATAAAATCGTTCATAGAAATATATTTCTACAAAATATTTTTTAAATTTCAAATGAACAATCAGTTGACACTAAAGTTCTTTTATAGTTTGTCTGAAAACTATTTTTGCTCAGCTTCAGAAGGTGACATATCTTTGAAATGGTAAGATTTTCCATTTTGAGGAGAATGGAAAATTCAAGGAGGGAAGTCAATATCTTTTTGATTGACTATGGTAGTGACCAAATCTGTTTTCAGTCCCACTTGAACAGCAGCAGGTCAACAATGGATTGTTTTTTTCTCCATGTAAATTAGTCTATAGCCTTCTATTTGTGTTTATGTCAAGACAAACATGAGGGACTTAGGACAATTTTTTTTCTTTTTTTTCTTTTTTTTTTTTTTTTGGGTAGAGAATCTATTAGTGAGATTAAAGACTTCATTTAGGAAAATCTGGCTGCAAGTAGCACTAGCTCACCCAATTAATGGAAATTAACTGCTAGATTATGACTCCTGGCTTGCTTGACCTACTGTATACAGTTTCAAATTTTCTTTTTTAACACAACACTTCTACATTGTCCAACATGGTATAATTAGCATGTCCCATTCTTCTCAGTTTTCATAATTAACAGTACAACTTCCCTTGACAGCTATCTTTAGTTTATGTGCAACAAGATCATCTCTCATACAAAATGGAGATCTACATAGAACAATTTTGGCTGGTAACAAATATTTCTTGAAACACCTTAAAAGGGATTACATATAGTTGAAGCCTTTGGGAGCTTCAAGCTCTTTTTGCTGAGAAATGCTTACAGCTTCTTGCTGTTGTGCCTACAAGTAAAGTCTTACAGAGGCATAGAGGGGTGTTTTTTATCTTACTGCAAATCACTTATTTCTTCTACACTCCCCATTTCCTAAGTTTAGCTGAGGTCTTTCACATTTCTAAATCAGAACTGCCTAGAAATACAATTTAGGGGCAATTGAAACAGATTTTGTTTTCTTACTCTTGAACATCTGCAAATAGGCAAACTTAATGTAAGAAAAATTGCGGTGCCCATGTATATGCAAAATTTCTCAGTTCTCAATGAAAGCATGCAACTGCAAACACTGGTTTTTATAGATGTATTCTGAAAACAATTTTTACTCACATCAGTAATACCATTACTTTTTATTAACAAAGTTTGCAAGACTTAGATCTGGAAAATATTAAAAACATATATCATAGGCAGCAACATGAAATTTTGAATCAAACACCTACACTAAAACATGAGTATACTAAATAAGATAACTACTTTACCCAGCACCTTTACATCTTGTGTACTTCCAGACCAATCTCTCTTTGATGGACAAAGAAGAACAGGACAGAAGAAAGCCTGGTGACTTCACTGCTGTTTGGTAAGTATGACTGACTTGACTTCTGTATTGAATTATCAACAGATTATCAAACAGGAAGAAACTTCTGAAAATCTAAACTATGCCTTAGCTTAAACTTACAACTCCATCTTTTTCCAGTGTATGTCTTTTCTATGTCAGGAAGTTGACACCTGTCAAACACTCTTCACAAGCCCTTGGGCTCATCCACCTTCCACATTGGATACTTGACCCTCCCCAATTTAATCTTTATAGCATAAAAGAGGAAAAAATTATCACATAGCTCATGGAATTAAACTGTCGTTTCCAAAACAGAAAAAAGGCACGTTAAAACTTCTTCTTATGCAATATAAATTCTCACAAATATGACAGCCGTATATATTAGCTCCTGACACAGGTCAAACCTATGAAAAAATGATGCATACTTTAATATCTCTATCTTACTACATGATGTATTGTGTTAAAATACCTCAATGCAGATATGATGCATTCCTCCAGTCTTGTTTTTTTGCAGAAAGCTTGCAATGGGACTTTTCTCTCCTAAAGGATGTAGAAGTTCCAGCTTGGTATTTCCCAGCTCCACAAAAACAGTGTAGACACCATGTTCAGGGAGAGCAACAGTCTCGCTCACCTGTGCTCCTAACACGTCTTTATACAAGGACTGAGCTTTCTCCAAATCAGGCACTGCAATTGCTACATGGTTAAGTCGGCCCAGTTTCCACAAATAGTTTGCAATGTTTTGAGAAAAGGAATTCGATGATGATAGAGTTCGTATTGTGGGAGCTGGAGTCTGCAATCTGGTAAGAAGCCCTGAAAAAAAGTGAATAGCACCAGTACAATGCTTTTCAGAAAGTATTAGTATCTGCTTTTTCTCCTTTTAATGAGGCCTATGTAACTCCTATGTTATTAGCACACCAGTGTGCAAAGCTGAAGGTAGTCTGAGACCAAGGAAGGAATTACTCTGTACTACTACCAGCTCCATGAAAATTTTTTTCGGAGACTATGTAATTATTCAGAAGTATTTAAAAAAAAAACAAAACAAACACAATTTTGGTGTAAATGCTTACATATGCCTGATAAAAAGAGAAATACATGACCAAATGTAACAGTCAACTGTATAATGTACTTGAAAGAGACTTCTGAATATTTCAGAGCTTCTTACAAAATAGAGAAAGAAATGAGGATATGCCTATACATCTAGAAATTATAACAAACAAGAAAATCCAAACAAAACCTTGGACAGAACTGATACTGCAAGATCCAAAAGATAAAAGACTTAAGCTCTCAGCTGTCAGAACTGACTCCAGCAAGGAAAGAAATGTCATGTTGCATCTGAGGCTTAAGGAATCCTAAAATCTTCTGAGTTTGATTTCTTATTTTCTCTTTCTCCAATGATTAAGTAATTTGTCCTCCTTACTTTTCACATGCCATCCAGGTCTTATAATTTGTTTCACTGATCTGTATTAAGATGCTTAGAAATATTTCAGTTCTAAGTACTGTGAACAATATGTCCAACTGACCAGTGATTTAGAAGATGATCTTTAAAAGGTCAAAATCGTAACAGCTTTTTTAGTGCCACTGACTTTAGTGTGACTTACAAAAGAAAAAGAGTATGATTTGGCTTATCGTAAATGAAAAGGTAATTATAAAAAAATATTGGATGACCACATGACAGAAAGGTGAGGGCTAACATGTAGACAAAAGATGGAGAAGTCATGGAGAAAGTGTCATGAAAACTGCTTACGTATCTACAGAACTCTTCACTGCCTGCTCTGACAAGGCAGTTCTGCACTTTGCACTGTCTGTGTCAAATTGCTGTGTTGCGCACAAATAGTTCTATAGTTGGTTGCTTGATTTTTTTAAAAAATCACCAAAAAATACATAAAATGAGCATACTTACAAATTAATTACATTAAAAATTAATCTGTCAGAGTACTAGAATCTGAAGAGGTTGAGGGTGGGGGAGAAATTTGTGATCATATCAGTTGTTTTTAGCACTAGAATTAGATAGATGAAAGGATATATTCATAAAAGATGCATTTTAATTTCATGCCAGTTTGCTTTAGGCCATGTCAGAGTCACCAATGCGTCAAGGCCAAGCTAGAGGCATCCCAGCATTGTGGAAGTCTTTGGAGCATTCTTAGCTTTAAATTCACAAATGTACTATTTTGCTAAGAGATTGTGCCAAGGGTGCAGAGATTCTGGATGCTTTGCAATACACTGAGGATAGCCTCGCTTGCATTTTTTCAGACTGTAGGGTTAGTAGAAGCTGTAACTAGCTTCACTGTGTGGAACCAAGAACTATCATTTCACAGGAATTCAAGACTCTACAGCTATCAGTTAATTTCTCTTCACAAAGACAACTGATGCAGTCCTTATGAGCATTGTGCTGTGATGGAAGAAGTCTTTGTGTGTATTTAAGACTTCAGATTACAACATCTAATGTACATACTTCCAAAGACTTAGTATCACAAAAGTAAGTCTATTCAGAATCTTTTGATAATACTAAATCAAGGTCCTACATTACGTGTTTCCAGAAACTTGTCCAGTTCTGCAAGTAACTGCCCTGGGAGTACTTCTTGCCAGCCTTTCACACAGTACCTCGTGTCATCTTCATCACAGCCAGAAGTTCGGGACAATTCTTTTTCACTTGTTACCTTTCGGCTATCATAGGGGCATAGTAGAAGAAATCAATATTTCCAAATATTTTTCAACTTTTTATATGTTAAAAAAAAATCCCCTAGCAACTTCTACACAGAAGAAAAATTCTTGGTTTTCAAATGCCTATATTGAAACTACTTTGTAGATAGACTTGCCATCTAAATGCAGCTGTATCAGGAGTGAACAATGCAATTCAATCACAAAAGCGTTTCTCCACTGACTTACAGAATTATTCAAATAATTCTTAACTTTCTCCAGTGTTAAAAAAAAAGTACTTTGTCTGCTTTTTTCGAAGCCAGTAGACGGTGTGATTAAAGCATCTCTCCAAGTGCCTGTCCTGCTTGAAAAATATGCATATGCTGACCAAATCCACCTGGTACATACAGCATTTGCACTTTTTTTTTTTTTACCTTTTTTTTAAGACATCTTTTTTCAAACATTGACAACCAAATCTGAATTTTTCTACATATTTTGGCCTTTAGAGAAAATTCAGCTGACCCTGCTCTTATTATGATTGCTGTCTTCCTAGCCTCAGTGATACTGCAGAATGTATGTCACCTTCTTCAGCTTCGTTTGAAGAGTATTTTTAAATTGATCTATTTGGGTTTTATTCTGTTAATGGTTGACTGATCTACTAGTACTATGCGCATCAGAGTTTAAACATGTACAGTTGTACCAACTGAGGCTTACATTCTGTAACAGCGCAGATTATGAACATGAAGTAACAAGTCTGAAGTACCCCGTAAAGATTCTCATCCTTCAAATGTTTATTCATAGGCTTGTTGCTCCACATGTGGGGCAGTGTTCATTGACTTACATGGCTAAATAATCAAACACAAGCCAAATCCAACTGAATTCAGTCATGTTCTCTACGGGCAGGTTATCCAACTGTGGGTCACAGTAAGAAGAACCTTGTCTCTAGACACTGCTTGACTGTCAGCCATTTCAGGTTGTGAAAAACTGCCAAGCATGGAGAGGATGCTGTCGCCATAGGGAGTTTGGCATACAGGGGCTCTGTATTAGCTCTCTGGACCAAATGGAGACAGGGCATAGTCTGGTCATTCTTAAATCCCAGCAATTTCAAGGTGGCTTTAGCACCTGGGAAACTTTGCCAGCCAACAAGGCTTAGGTCATCCATAGTGCTGCTCTGCTCTAAGCTGGAGGTGGCTTTTAGGAAGCATATTGGCTCCGTAGTTCCTAAAAACTGAGTCTCACTTTGCTGCAGCTCTTGTTTCTTCCATCAAAGTGCAATTATACAAAGGTTTTTTCATTCCCCATATCCCACTGATCGATCACTGACAGCACTTGAGTCTCTCATTCACTTTTCTGCTGCAGTTTATGGCTACTGAATAAAATCGTGTGGTCTAGGTATGGTGAGTTTAACCTGCCCTTAATTATTTTTAAGAGAGTGAACAGTCCAGATAATTATAATGAACGGGAAATGATTTTGCATTCAACCTCTAAGTTGTACATTAAAAAGTCAAGTTCCTCCTTGTGCCTTAAGTGTTAAGTTTGCAGCTTGCTGCGTAAGTTTATTCTAGAATAAGCCAGATAATGTCAGTTGTCAATATATTTGTCACCTGGATCAGAAGACCTTGTTTTTATTTATAAAAACCGTTCTGTTTCGTTGCGGCCTGCAGGGCTCTCACGGAGACCCTCAGCCCGCTCCCG